GGGGGGGGGGGGTCGGACCGTTCCCCGAACACCTCGTGCGCCGCACCCGCACGGTCGGGCTCGTGCGCCGGACGTAGGGAAACTCACGCACGAGGTGTGCTTGCATGTATAAGTTCTGCCTCTCCTGCTAAAGAGGATTCATTCTCCATTGTTCGTCCTCCCCCCACCAAACCATTGAAGCTCCACCAAAGCTAACTCCGAAGGGGGAAACAGTTCAAAACAGCATGCAGCATCTCAGAAGGACTCCCCTGGCTGAATATCAAACCAGTCATTGAACTGCAAAGAGTAACTCTTGCAATGAACCCAGACTGGAAGATACTCTTCAGACGTCAAAATGCAAGACAACTCAGATCTGGACAAAGTCTCCAATAATCATGAAAGTGATCTCTGATACAAAGTCTCGTTACCAGTAGACAAAGAGAGTGGAGGGGGAATAGACAATCAGAGGGTGGAAGAGATAAGCAATGACCACCAAGAGAGTAGCCCAATATTACCCACTTCTTCTCCGGGCTTCCCCTTCAAACGGTTTTCACCTTTGCAGTAGCAGATGCAGATCCCAGGGCTCGATCCCTAGACCCCACCTCACCCGTGTACAGTATCCCTCTGTGTTTGAACCCATGACCTGCGTTTTAGGAGTCAATTGTTGTCTATCATAGGCCAATGTAGCTGTCGGGTCTTGAACCGTAGGTCTGTTGAGTAGGGGTCATAGTTGTGTAGAGGTCGTAGCTGTAGTAATTCTGAAAGGTCAGGGTCGTAGCTGCTACAGTTTCGAAAGGCCAAGTCCGCAGGCTTCCGGAAGGTCCGGAAGTGGCCTTTCAAGCGTTGGTCACAGCAGACCAGAGGCAAGTGGGCAAGTGGTGAGTCCAACCTTGCTTAGTCAGTGGTACCCAGTCCCAGTCTCACTTAGTCCAGTGGAAAAGGGGCAGACCAGCGACCAACAGAAGTATAAATCAAGAGGCAGCGTCCAGCCATTCCTTCCTTCCTGCGTGAGCCATGCGGAAGCGCTGCCCAGGCGTCTTGTGCGAGGTGGTCTGCAGATGCCCGAGGTTGAAGTGGGCTGAAAGGAGATAGATCGTCCAAAGCCAGTAGTCGTAGAGCGGCCATAGCCGCAGTAGCTTAGAGATAGAGTTCAGTGTGTGTGTGTTCGGTACTGAGTGTGTGTGCACGGTATATCCATGGAGATCCAGTGTGAAGTGTGTGTGAACAGTTGAGGTGAAGAGGGATGTATAAGTGCTCAGGCGCCATAGTTAAATTGAAGTGAGTTTGTATCTGAACTGTGTCCTCGCCTTGAATATCTCTCAGCTTTGTGTGGGCTCCCAGCGCCAGTGTGGAATGCCATCTGTTTGTATGCATGCGAGGTGAGAAGAAAGCGAGTCTGATTGCACCCTCGCCTCCACGTCATCAACAGTATCCAATACTGAGTCAACAAGTCCTGATCGCATAGAAGTGCCACGTGGCACTGCTCTCTCGTGCAGACAATGAAGACAATCAGCAGCACTCAATATCGACGTCAACCTCAGGTAAGTATCCCATTCCTCAATCATTTGAGATCCCCATCTCCCTCCTCGTCGCAACCAATCACCTCATGTAGACAGTGTGGCCAGTGCCACGTCAGCAATGGAGACAGGTGGCCTGCGCCACATCAGCAATGAAGACAAGTGGCATGCACCACATCAGCAATGCAGACAGGTGGCATGCGCCACATCAGCAATGTAGAGTGGCATGCGCCACATCAGCAATGTAGAGTGGCATGCGCCACATCAGCAGAGGCTGGCGCTCAGCAGAGAAGGCGCCAGCATGCTGCCAAAGTCCCGCGTCGTCGTCCATAGTGCCAGCGTCCAGCCAGCGTCGAGCCAGCATCGAGCCAGCGTCGAGCCAGCATCAAGCCAGCATAACGCCAGTGTCAAGGCAGCATGGCAAGACTGAATGTTGACCTCCTGGAGACCAAGCCTTATGTAGTGTTTGACGAGGCAGTCTGGCCTCAGGTCTCCCACCCACAGTCGTACAGATTGACTCACAACCGACGGTCTGGATTGTGTACAGTTGCAGACTTCCCCTTGGTCCTGATGCTGTGTGGGTGCCTGCATACAAACAAGTGTGTGCATGTGACCGGCGGCCTCGGCTGGGTCCACTTTGACTTTGACTGTTAGGTGTCAGGCAGTTGACTTTAGTCAACTGTCGCCCTCTCAAGCCGTAAATCTACGTAGGGGTCATTCTTCCCCTTCGGCCTGGGTCTGAGTATGGCCTGGCGAGGCCCTTAGACATTCCACGAGGCATACTGCATAGGTTATTGCATTCCTGTCGGCCCAGTTTTCGAGTTTCATCACAGAAAGACATCAATTTTCTTTCAGCCCACGTTTGTATGCAGCAACAATGTCAGGAGCAGTAGGTAAGAGTTCGTTTGTACTGAACCATCTATCTTTAGTAGGGGGTTGAGACTTGAACTTTACCTTATACTGCTTTTGCGGTCGTCCGCTGCCGCCTGTAAAAAAATAGTCATGTTCCAAAATCTTCTCAACTTCATAACCTCCATTCATTGAGGGGGGAAACATAGATGGTTTATTAGGAAACTCAGTTTCCTCTACATATGGCAAGAGTTTAGACGCGTGAAAACCAGGATAGGTTCTGAGGTGAGGGGGTACATCAATTCGGTAAGGAGGTCCATCTGCATCCCCAATCACCTTGAGAACTTCCCAGGGCCCATAATGGACGGGTAGCAGTTTCTGAGATACATTTTCTTCCAAGGAAAATTATTTAGACTTCAACCATACCAGATCACCTTCCTGAAACTGCGATGGCCGACCATGTTTGTTGGGCTGCTCAATCATCTGCAGTTGGGCTTTCTGTATATTTTCCTTTACTTTCTTAATATGTTCTTCGTATAAAACTGCAAATTCACGAGTGTCTGGGGATAGCCTCTGAATCTGATTCCGAGTTAGAGCATCAATGAGACGTCTAGGTCTCCAACCTTTATGCAGTGCGTTGGGTATTCTTCCTGTAATAGTATATATGCTATTATTATATGCACTAGCAATCTTAGCTAAGTTTTCATCCAAATCTATTTGATCGGGTTGTACATACATGTGGAGAAGTTGTTGGCACAGACGATTCATCTGTTCATTTTGGCCATTCGTTTCATGATATCTGCCTGACAACATAGTCAACCTAGTACCATAGACTTCCATCAACTTCTGCCATTATATATTAGTGAACCAAATATCCCTGTCAGAAACAACGGATTTCGGGAATCCATACTTTGATACCCACCGCATCTAAAACTTCTGGATGACCAACTCAGTTCTAGCTTTGCCAGGCAAAGGAATGAACATACATATTTTGAGAATCTGTCTACAATGACCATTACCTGTCTGTTGCCATTTCGACTCTTTGTGAGACTCATAAAGTCTATGGAGATAGACTCACCTGACTCACTTGGAATAGGAAGTGGTCTCAATAGTCCCACGGGATTCTCATGCGAGGGCGTGTTCCTCTGACAGACAAGACAAGTCCGCACATAGGTTAATACATCCTTTTTCATTCCTTTCCATTCAAAGCGTTCTCTTACATCAGCATACGTCTTCTTAAAACCAAAGTGTCCCTCAACATCATGACCTTCCCCAACTCTTGTTCCTGGTGAGGAATACATAATTTTTTTTCAGTTTTATCTAAGTAGAAGTTTAAGTCATCAGTCATTCGATATTCTGGGAATAGTTCAGGGTTCTTTTGTAGGGTCTCAATGATAGGAATCCAAATCGGATCACTCTCATATCCCTTTCGGATTTGTTCTTTTAATTTACTATTGATATCCAGGTAGGAGACAATAGTTCCAAAGAAATTTGCATGCCTGGACAAAGCATCCGCAACCACATTGGACTTCCCTTTGATTGTTTTCAATTCAAAGTCAAAGGTGTCGATAAAAGCAGACCATCTTACTAACTAATCAGAGAGTCTAGGTTGAGTATTGATCCACTTTAGAGTAGAATGATATGAGAAAACAGTAAAGTGTATCCCTAACAAGTAGTGCTTCCAGGTGTCGAAGGCGGCAACTAAGGCATACAATTAGAGTTCGTCACTTTCTTTGACGGAAGTCTTCTGGAAATAGACTTAATAGGCCTATATCCCTTAGCGTCGTCTTGTTGTAGCACGACCCCAGTTTCATACTAACGTGCATCAGTTGTGACAATGAAAGAGAGAGAAGGATCAACAATTTTTAAGACAGGGTAGTGAGTCAGTAGATGTTTCAACTTCCTTAACGACGACTCACAATCTTTGTCTCACAACCAAAATTTTTCCTTCTTCAGAAGTCTTCTCATAGGAGTCACCTCAATCTGGTGGTACCCTGACTTGAGATCAAATTTACTGAAGTACCGCATCCTTGCAACTGGTCCAACAGGTTGTCAATGCGTGGAAGTGGTTCCACGTTCTTTACATTGACGGAATTCAGCCCACGATAATCAAAGCATAATCTAAGTTCACCTTCCTTTTTGGGCACGAATAAGGAGATAAGCTAGGGCGAATCCATCCTTTATCCGTAAGTTCTTGCAGTTGTTTGCGAAGTTCCTCAAGTTCTCTAGGAGACATATGGTAGATGGGACCCTTGGGAATCTTGCTTTCGGGAATAATCTCGATCGTGTGCTTAATAGCACGCTCAGTGATTCCCGTCGGCTCGGTCTGCAAGTCCTTATATTCATCGAGAAGTTTCTCAATTGAAGAAGGGTGGGATGAGGAACATTATCCTACTCGTTTAATGAGTATCATCATCACATCATGATCCAACTTATTTTTCGAGACCATTGATCTGAAGGTTGAGTAACTCATACAACAAAAAGACAAGGTTGAGTCAGAGCTAGACCTATGGTACAATTTGATCGCTCGCATTTCAGACTTCTCGTCCTTTAGCTTTACAAATTTTCTTTGAACCTGACTTCTGGGTCGACTTCCCCGTGCCAATCCATTCCCAAAATCATATCAACGACAAGCTAATTTCAATAAGGAAGGATAGTTCATGGAAGATTTTTTTCCTTTCTCGGTCTTGAAGTAACACTTCACACGATCTACATATTGAGAGACAGTGATCGTGCTCATATCAGCCAACATAGACGCGATCGGTCTATGCAAGTTTCTTACCTTCATTCCCATATGCAATTTACAAATCGCCTCTTCTGAGATGTAAGACCGCGTTGATCCTGGGTCTAACGGTGCACTTACTAGTGTACGTGCAATCTCAATATCTTCGATCATGAGTTCACCCTTAGACTTAGCTTTCTTAGCCCACGAACTCCGAAGTGCTATGAGTTCATTGTCGAGCTCGTCAAGGGAATCGTCCAGTGAGACAAAGCAAAGAACAGTGTCAGGGTGATCTGGACGACGGGCTAAAGAAGGGTCATCCTCTGCCTTAAGAGTCGAGAGGTTAGAAGGGATTGTTGGCGCCTTACCTTTGTATAAACCCTTCGACTCAGTAGGAGCAGATGCTACTCCTACTGGCTGCTCGCTTTTGGGTTCCGAATCAAGGGACACCAGGCTATCACGTGCCTCACGGTTCCGAGGCATTGGCGATTATCCATCTTGGACTGGCACTCCTCACGTGTCATTCCCATCTTCTCACGAGGCTTCCCGTACGCGATGTCGGAATGCTCGGGGAACGAGTGTGGCCTCTTCTTCTTCTTCCACTGACTTGGGCCACCCTTGTTGGCCACTACAGCAACGATGTCACCCTTCCCGGACTCGCCGTCGCCATCACCTCCTCCTCCCTCGGACTCGTCGAGACGTAGTTTCTCTACGGTATCGTCGTCGAAAACGACAAGCATGTGATCCTGTCGCTTTTTCCGCCAAAGGACATGCTTGCCGTACCCACCTACCGGACCACTCTTCACCGCAGAAGCATATGTGCCCTTCACTTGCGCGGTCATCTGCTCTCGTTGGAGAGCGAGATCACGAATTGCCTATAATTATACTGTCCAGACTTTGCCTCAAGCACGAGTTGTTCGCGAATGGGCTCGGGCAAGGCTCGTGAGTAGATGTACAGGACCTGGTCATCTTGCAGATGAAGACCAGGTACTTGTAGAAGACGGTCTACCTCACACGAGAAAGCATCAACGAAAGTCCAACGTTTCTGGCCTATTGTGGTGAACTCGTCAAAAGCCTTGTCGGTTGTGGTCTTATCAAGAAATCTCTCCTTGATTTTCTGGAGAAATTGCTTGAGGGTTAGGGTCTTGGCCCACTCACCAATGTCTTCGAAGCCAGCAGCGTTAGCTTCAGACAGTACCCATTCCTTGGCCACTTCTCCCAAACACGAGGCAGAGAAGGTCACCTGACTTTCAAGCTCAACAGGTGCGGTACTATAATAAGTCTAGATTTCTGCAATCCACAACAACAAATTCTCTCCCTTTTTGTTGTTGTACGTAAATGGCAATTTCATTTTCACTTTTTCCTTCCTCTTCGGTTTTTTCAGCTTCTTTGACTGGTTCTTCTTCCTTGGCGCGTTTTTTCTTTTCCGCAATTTTTTCTGGTTCCTTCTTAGAACTGTCAGGTTTCTCTGACGTCACTTTCCACATTTCATCCTTCATGAGTTTTTCTTAGGGTTCTTTCTTGACTTCTTTCCCCTTGTTCTCCTCCTCAATCCTTACCTTATCCTTGCCTTTTAGAAGTCTGGTCACTGTCTCCAATGAGGCAGTGTTGCTATCTATTTTATTTTCCAGGTGGACAAGATAAACCATTATAGACTGCAGAATGAATGCAAGTTGAGTGCCTGCTTCTTCATAGTGGAATCTCTGCCTTAAGTCTTCCATCATTCTTTCTTCCTGTTCTTGTTCTTCTGTCTTTCTCTGAAATTCTTCTATTTTCCTTCTTTCTTCCTTCAGCGTGTTTTCTAATTGTCTGACATTCTCCTCCATTATCTCTACAAACACTTTTGTTTCCTTTCTTTCCTCTCTTTCTTTTTCCTTTTCTTTCCTTCTTTCTATTTGCTCTTGCCTGATGAGCTCCTCAACTTCCTTTCCGGTTTCTTGGATCTGAACGGCCCCCTTCGCATTTTCCAGTTCACCTTATGTGGCGCACAGATTGAACTGTCCATGCACCAGTCGTTCAGCTTCTGGTCCGGCACCGTGTATTTCGTCGAGCAACTGGCGAAGAAGGGCCGTCAAAGTCTGCCTTCTTGCATCTATCTGACCACGAGTCTTAAGTTCCCCCCCTTCTTCATCAACATAGATGGTGAAAAGGATATGAAAGAAGAAAAAAGGTATATACTGCATAAGGATGGAGGCACGCAAACATTTCCAGAGATAAGTCATATTTCCCAGTGTGTGAATGCCGCACAATAAATAATTATAAAGATAGAAATAAATTCCACAGCCACACACAATTTTCCTACAGCAAGAAATAATCAAAGGCAAATAAGAAGAAACAGATTCCCAATTTATTTATATTTCTAACTTTGTTGTCTGTTCTATGTGTGATGACGTCTTACAGAAAGTGTACAGGTACCGCAGCGACGACCAGTGTGATCAAGACAACAACACACAAGTGAGTATGCACAACAACAACAAAACAGTCAAACAAGTGAGTAGGTCAGCCAACACAACCAACAACAATCAATTGCCAGCCTTCCTTCCTCTACGGTTGTACCATCTACAGAACCAATGCAACCAGACACAAGGGTTGACATGTGACACTACAACAAATCGTGAAGCCGTACCGTCTGCCAGCACACAAGTGCAAGATAAAAACCTCACCCACAGCAGCGTGCCATGCATGCCACATGTTACCCTTGGAATGCCAACACAACAGCTTTACAGAGTCTGCCACGTCAGTATCAATGACCTGGAAGGTCTTACAAGGGGGATGCCACATCAGCAATGCATGGTCTGCAAACACATCCAACACTGGTATGCCACGTCAGATCAAAATGTGGAGCGCTTCGTCAACAAACAGTCGCGACACAGGTATGTGCCTGGTCAGACAATGCCCTGCCAATAGTAATAGGATGCCACATCAGCATCCCTACGTTATGCCACGTCATCGGTCCCAATATCCACACTTTCTCTCTCTTCACCAGTGCCACGTCAACCTGTTGCCAACGATGCTCTTGTCGGTATCCCAGCTTCAGTGTATCCATGTCATCACCTCCAAGGGAGGCTACACGCACTTGCGGTATGCAATGTCTAGACATGCAGTTACTCGTGTGCATTGATGAACGCATTTCGTTCCTGCACGTGCGGCACCTCCCACTTACCTGGGTGCCACGTCAGCACCTAACAACATATCGTGATGAAGGAGGTATGCTCTGATACCAAATTGCAATGAATCCAGACTGGAAGATACTCATCATACGTCGAAATGCAAGACAACTCAGATCCGGACAAAGTCTCCGATAGTTGTGAAAGTGATCTCTCATACAAAGTCTCGTTACCAATAGAAGAAGAGAGTAGAGGGGGAATAAACAATCAGAGGATGGAAGAGATAAGCAATGACCACCAAGAGAGTAGCCCAATATTACCCACTTCTTCTCCGAGCTTCCCCTCGCCTCCACGTCATCAACAGTATCCAATAACGAGTCAATAAGTCGTGATCACATAGAAGTGCCAATTGGCACTACTCTCTCGTGTAGACAATGAAGACAATCAACAACGCTCAATATTGACGTCAACCTCAGGTAAGTATCCCGTTCCTCAATCATCCACAGATCTCGATCTCCCTCCTTGTCGCAACCAATCACCTCATGTAGACAGTGTGGCCCGTGCCACGTCAACAATGGAGACAGGTGGTCTGCGCCACATCAGCAATAAAGACAAGTGGCATGCGCCACATCAACAATGTAGACGGGTGGCATGGCCACGTCAGCAATGTAGAGTGGCATGCGCCATATCAGCAGAGGCTGGCGCTCAGCAGAGAAGGCGCCAGCATGCTCCACAGTGCCAACGTCCAACCAGCGTCAAGCCAACGTCGAGCCAGCGTCCAGCCAACGTCAAGTCAGCATGGCAAGACTGAATGTTGACCTCCTGGAGACCAAGCCTTATGCAGTGTTTGACGAGGCTGTCTGGCCTCAGGTCTCCCACCCACACTCGTACAAATTGACTCACAGCCGAGGGCGTGGATTGTGTACAGTCGCAGACTTCCCCTTGGTCCTGATGTTGTCTGGATACCTGCATACAAACAAGTGTGTGCGTCTGACCGGCGGCCTGGGCTGGGTCCACTTTGATTTTGACCGTTGGGCGTCAGGCAGTTGACTTTAGTCAACTGTCGCCCGCTCAGGCCCTGAATCTACGTAGGGGCCATTTTTCCCCTTCGGCCTGGGTCTGAGTATGGCCTGGCGAGGCCCTTAGATATTCCAGGAGGCGTACTACATGGGTTATTGCACTCTTTTTGAGTGGCATCACATAATCATTCTCATCAGGCCATACCACCTGTCCCATACCCTGTTCCTGTGATCCCCCTAGCCAGTCGATTGTGAATTTGAGTATAGATTGTTTGATGAATTTTTTGTGAGTTAGAGATTTTAATTTGCCTTTAAGATTGGCCCATTGGGCTCCAATTTCTGTTTCCACAAATTGTTTGACATTTTAAAAAATTCATCCCTTCCATACGCACATCCTCTTTTACATGTACACACCTCCGTTGAGTGGTTTATCAGCCAGTCATTAGTAGCCAGACATCTATGCATAATCTGCCATTGAAGTGAAGCAAATTTGGCTGGTCTTTCCTTACTAGATCGAAACCAACGTACTGTACGAACCTGGTCTATGTGAATGTTGAGATGACTCACCCATCTGTCGTGCACAACCGTTGGAGCATCGACTTTGGGTCTCAACAACCGATAGGCTGCCTTGACAGTCATGGATTGAAGCGTTTTGGGGGTATCCCTTTTCAAAATCTGCCATGTCCATTCCTCAGGGTCCAGTGGAAGCTTTGTTGTTGGGATTTTAGGGTAATAAGCCCACCATCGGCTGAGTGATGGGTGGCTGGTACTGTGTGGTGAAGGACTCGAATCCTGTACAACATTTTACTGGGCACCCACTCCACCCTGTCTAGATCATACCTAGACAAAAAAGGGTCTTGTTCTAGATGGAAAACATTCACCATTGTTCCATCCTGATACTTGCATACAACTTGACCTATTATCCATATATTATCAGAATCATACCCTGTCACCCAATCGGCATCCTTTTCTTAGCGTTCTTACCAAGCTAGAGGAATGAAGAAAACTATTTGGTCCAACATTTTAGATAAGTGATGTGCATACTTGAGAGTGAATCTGAGTTGTTCTACAGACTTCCAATTCTTTACTGATGGATCCCATATGTCTTTAATCCTGAGTGGGGATCCGGCCTGCCCAGGTGACCGGCAGGGGCCCGGGCGGCCTGGCTGGGCCGAGCAGCCAGTTGGGGGGCAGGCCCCCCTAGGGCACTTACCTGTCGGGGGGTTTCAGACCCCTTTTTAGCTGGTTTCCCGGCAGGCCTACCGGGTCTGACCGGCCCAAGAAACCGTCGGGCCCGGGAGGCCTGTTTTTTTTTTTGAAATTCCCGCCGAGCCACAAAGCCGGCGGATCTTGGCGCCAACCTTTCCCCCCGTTCGAACCTCCGATCGGCTGGGGTGGTCTGCCACTCGCCCCCCAGCACGACCAGAGTTGGTGCCGACCTGCTGCAGCGCCGTCCTGCTGCGTCGTCGCCTGTCGCCATCGCCATTGACTGTTCTACCGCTGCCGGTACGACAAAGGCCTGACTGTCCTGCTGCTACGACGAAGGTCCGACTGTCCTGCTGCTACGACGAAGGCCCGACTGTCCTGCTGCTACGACGAAGGCCCTGGCGACGAAGGCGCCGTTCTTCTTCTTCTTCTTCTTCTTCTTCTTCTTCTTGTCGGAATCGTTTAGGGTTTGTGTAGGATGCAACGACGAAGGCCCGTCTGCTAGGGTTTTTGTAGCAGGTGACGACGAAGGCCCCGATGAACTTCTTCTTCTTCTTTTTCTTCTTCTTCTTTTTCATCTTCTTCTTCTTCTTCTTCTTCTTCTTCTTCTTCTTCTTCTTCTCCTTATTCTTCTTCTTCTTTTCTTCTTCTTTTCTTCTTCTTCTTCTCTCCTCCTCCTTGTTCGCTCATATTCTTCCGCTTCTTCTCTCCTCCTCCTCCTTCTCCCCCTCTCATTGTCTTCTTCTTCTTCTCTCCTCCTCCTCTTCCTCCGCTTATCTTCTTCTACTTCTTCTTCTCCCCTCCTCCTCCTTCCCCTCTTCTTCTTCTTCTTCTTCTTCTTCTTCTTCTTCTTCTTCTTCTTCTTCTTCTTCTTCTTCTTGTAGGTTATTCGACAGGTCCTTTTCGTCATACCGCCGCCATACCTCGTCCATTCTTCTTTTCTCCTCCTTCCTGTCAGTTATCCTCCCCCTCCTCATCCATTCTTGATCTTCTTATTCTTCCCCTCCCACTGTTTCACTCATCTTCTCCTTCTTCTTCTTCTTCTTCTTCTTCTTCTTCTTCGCATCCTTGGCTAGGTTTGCCAAGGTGGTGGGTGGTCCTGGGAGATCTTTGATCTCGCAGGTCTACCCCCACCATAAGTTGTACATTAACTAGTTTTTTGCATCCTCGTTTCTGAAGAAGGCCCTCACTCGGGTTTTTCACTTTGTCCGGTTTTCTCAGACTGTTTTCTCGGGTTATCCAGTTGTTGGCAAGTAAGTGCACTAGGGGAGAAGGAACTTTCGGGTGCTGCACGAGTTGTCAGAGTTTGCTGCTTTTCATTTTCATTTTTATTATTTCACTAATTTTGGAAAACCAATTTTTTTGGGCCCGCTACTGAGAGGATTCCGTAACTGTTTCTTCAGTATGAGAATCTTGCTTGGACGCAGGCATTCTGGACCAGGTTTTCGGCACACGTATCTGGTCGGTTTTCAGAAGGCAGATGCAGCGACCCAGGGACAGGGTTTTGAGGCACAGGCACCATGATAGTCGGCACAGGTGTCTGGTCGCTGTAGGCAGATGCAGCGTCCCAGGGACAGGGTTTCTGGGCACAGGCACCTCGATAGTCAGAACCCTGTTTGGACGCAGACATTCGGGACCAGGGCGCAGGTTTCTGGTCGTTTTCAGTAGGCAAATGTAGCGTCCCAGGGACAGTTTTTTTTGGGCACAGGTATCGGGTCATTCTTAGCAGACAGATGTAGCGTACCAGGGACAGGGTGTTTTTGGGCACAGGCACCACGATAGTCAGAAGCGGGTTTTCCCAGTTCCTTGACTATAGTAGGACATGTAATGCACGTCGTGGGACGTGCATATATCTAGGTAATCTCTTATCGGCAAATACTGGAACGCAGCGGCCGCTTCCACAGATATCGATGAGACACCCATGCCCTCGGTGGAGATGCATGGCGGGGACATGACACCGGACGGCGACATGATCGGTCAATGGTCTTGGCGATGGGATGCAGGAGTGGTCAGAAGGAGTGTGCGTAGAAGGGTGAAGGAAAGAGGGAAGAGAGGGAAATTGAGGATATGATCTAACATTCTAGAGCTATAAAGATCGTGGAGATGCTTGCATCTTCATACAGTATGGATGGTGGTATGTCTTCCTGAAGAGGCTTGGCACGCACAAGCCGAAACACGTCGAGGGAATGCGTGAGTTTTGTGACGGTGTTTGGTGGAAATCTCTTGATTATCGTTTGATTATCTTCTGATTATCTACCCTCTGTGGGACAGGTTTTTCTGTTCGTAATCTCCCAATATTCTGGGTAGGCGTGGCGACCAACGTTTGCTTTTTGTCGTTAGAGTGGTCACGTTGGTTCTCGTGTGAACCGTGGTATTTTGAAAAAGAAAAGGTAAGGCTGGTCAGAGGACTGAAGGAGGGTGTCTGATGGGCGGGATGTCGAAGCTTTTGAAGATACGACTTCGTATCTTCAAGCATCTTCGAGGCTTGAAGAGGCTGCAGACTGTCCTTAGACAGATGATCGAGAGTGTCCAGATTCGGATGTGTGCCCTCGATAGGCATAGCGGTAGGGGGAGGGGTAGAATCATCAATTACGAAGGGAGATGTGGTAGGCTGCTGGAGACATTATATTGTCTCATTCTCGGACCGATAGCAAAGTGCGTCTTACATGCTAACTGCTACTATAAGAGGAAGGTGAAACCGACAGTCGTCAACATACTCAAGGCTTTCGACCTTGTCTGCGGTTTATTTCGGAGAACTTTGGCAACTTTGATACAACACCAGTAGCTGGCCGAGAAAGATGGCGGGGATGATGGGCGCTGGGATGGGCACACAGGGATTGGGCGGCCGGATGATGAACGGCCTAGCACAAAACGGAGCTGTGATGGGCGGCCAAGCGATGGGCGGGATAACGGGAACTCACATAGGAGGAGCGGGTGGGGTAGGAGGCATATCCCCACCCATTAATCCGGCTGCTGCACAGTATGGCGTGGTGACTTGCTTTATCTGTGGCAAGAACGGGCATTATGCCCAAAATTGTTGGCATGCCGCTAATAAGCTGAAACCGGAAGAAGAAAACAGTGAGATGCGTGAGCTTCTCCAGCGGATAGCGCGGAGGGAGAAGGAAGAGGAAGAAAAGAAGAAACGGAAGATTGAAGAAGCAAGGAAAAAGGAAGAAGATGAGAGGAGGGAGAGTGCGAAGATGCGTGAAGAGGAGGCACGCGAAGATCGCTTAGAATCCACGATCATACGAATCTTGGAGCAGAAGAACGAAGCGTGTATGTTGGCTCTTGCCCCCCCAGCAGGGGCGGAGTTGAGGAAGCGCTCACTGCGCTCTAAGGCACGCATACTACGGGAAATAAGAAGCTACATAGCCAAATCGGACGACAACAGCGAGGAAGTGAAGGACGAAGCTGATAAGCTTATCGAAGCTCTGGAAAGCAGAAAGAAGGGGAAGAAGAGTGCAGCAACGGTGCGTGCGGCCGCGAGTCGGACGCAGCAAAAGAAGAATTCGACGCCACGTAAAGGGAAAGTGCAGCGACACGAATATGACTCTAAGGAGGATGGCTTCGTAACTCCTACAAAACCTGGACCGGCAGGATGCTCTAGTGAGAGTTTGGTAGATTACGCTCTTACTTAAACCAAGATTCTGAGTGCGCTGAAGGCTAATGAGATTCGCAAGATCCGTGACAGAGAAGGCGTGGGATACACAGTGAAGGACAAATCGATTCAAGAGCTAGTACGTTGTCGTACTAAGTTGGCCTATGAAGGCTTTTTCGAGCGAGAACAAGGATCGCCACGACCTGCAGCTCAGGGGATCGAGCAGATATGATGACGGACATGTCATCGGGCAGTGTGGGAAGGCGCCTTCGAGAGTTAATCGCGAAAAGACGATGGAGGGAGGCAAACGGTGCGTATCCGCTTTTCGTTCGGGACGATGAGAATGAGCTAGCTTTACTTCTGATCCTACTTGCCATACGTGGGTTTGTCCCTTGGATCAGGAAAATTCTGCGTTTAGTTGATCCTCACAGTGTTGATGTTAACCTTGTGGGAGTGTACATTGTAGTTAGTCCCTTCTGTAGAAAGTTTTACGTCGGTTGCACAGTTCGGAGGATAGTTACAAGGTGGGCGGAGCACGTCAGGTGCTCAAAAGCCGGGGGTAGTGGCAATGCACCAAAATTGCACTCCTGGTTGAGGCATTACGGATGGCAGAACCACGTAGTTCTGCCAATCGCTACTGATGTCCAGGATGGATTAGCGGTTGAAAGCATGCTGATCCGCCGCTCTTCTCCAGCACTGAATAGGATTGGGAGGATAGCAGTTTGATGAAGAAGCGCCGTGGGCGAAAGGGAGGACCCAGTATGCAGCCCAAGGCTACGGGAGGGTTACCTTCCGGCACAGTTGGAAGAGGTATGCATCGCTACTAGATCTTTTGCGGGAAGTAGGCGAGCAGGAGCGGGAGATCGTCTTAGCATTGGAACCTGGGAGAATCTCGGTAGACTCATGGAAGAAGGTGCGCGAAGTTTTTGGCGAATCTGACGTTGTACTTGGAACGAACAGGAAGAAGTTGAGGCTATGTCGCGACGACCTGGAACGGGGTTGCGATTTCCGAATCGTCTCTCTAAAGAAGACTCCATCGGGAGTGCAGAGGAACAAACGATATCTTCGTGACCTCCTTGCACAACCATGGTGTGTGAGGAATTTGTACGGACTGACGAGTCGGTAGACGGTCGCACTCTACAGAACAGCTGGGCTGTTTTCCAGAAACACTACCAGAAGCTGGCTACATTCAAAATTGGCACGGGTCATCAAGGATAGATTTGGCATGGATGTACGACGGAGGGTGATCGTGAAAATCCCGTTTTCCGCCCTCGTTGATATAAGCGCGGTTAGGGACGTGACAGTGAAGGTAATCACGATCGTAGTACAGGACGAAGCCATCAGATCTCTCGTCATAGAGAGACTTCGGATCACCAGATTGAAAGGGAAGACCGTGGGGGCTATTATTCATAACTACAAGAAGAAGCTTGTGGCGAAGGAAGAAGGGTGCACATGCGCGCTCCGGGATTTGTCACGGTTTCAAGGCCACGTAAGGGTTAGACTGGACGAAGTACCGGGCGTTCATCGCTTCGTCCTCAACTCCAGAAATGTCACTAGTGGCCGTACCATGACGAAGACTCAGCTACTGGAGAAGATAGTCCAGGCCATTCCGAAATGGTGGAGGGCCAGTCTGCTGCAACTCAAGAACAAGGAGGTGCAACGTTGCTTTCGGATGAATGGTGTGCCAGCGGCTTTGTCTGAGCAGCAGGTGGAACGTGAAGTACGCCATATTCGTGACCTGGTTCTTGTCCCTTTGGCTAGGAATCCAGGGGCGACACTCGTGATATGTCCTGTTCTTTACTTCCATGCTTTCCGCATGACGTTCACATGGAATCCAGCTTTTAGGCGCTTGAAGGAGGATGAAGCAGAAGTCCTGGCGGCTTCTAAGGCGGAGTACAAGACGGCTGGCCTACAGGCAACTGCCACGTGGCGTACTTGCGGGAAATTGGGAAGAGCTTACGTCATACCGAAAGACAAGGACTTCTCCCGGTGGAGACCAATCTTGCCATCATGGTCGGAACCATCAAGAACAGCCAGTGGTAGATTGGGGAGGGTGCTGCGGTACATGTTGCTCGGCGTTTCAAAAACGAGCCGTTTCAGCTTGAAGTCCACCGATGGGATGACGCAGGCCCTGACCACGGCAACCAAGAGACTGTCAAGATATGGTGACACTGTTGTCGGGAGGTGCTACGACATTAAGGACATGTTCGCTAAGCTTCCCCATGGGGACATCACTAGCGCCGTAGCTTGGCTGATCAAGATGTACGAAGATCGCCGCCTAGTGGCTGCAAAGGTGAGCGTCCGTGGAAAATTGTGTAAGATGTCAAAGACACTAAGGAGGGAAGACGGATATGTATGCCTACCGTTTGGGAGGATCTTGAAGCTGGTTTCCTATGAGCTGTGCAACACTTTCACTGTCTGTGAGGGGCGGGTTTTTCAGCAAAAGTTCGGTATTCCGATGGCAAAACACTCGTCCCCTGCACTTGCTGACGTCTTGTGCTCCAGGGCCGAGTATGCTCTTCTGATGTCTCTGGGGAATGACCGACGTGCGATAGCAGGGGTGAGAATGGTAGACGACGTCTCTGTTCTCGTGGCTTATGATGCCGATGAGGCCGTTAGCCATGAAAACACTTTGCGCGTTTTCTACCAGTTCGAACGTTGTTATCCGGAGACCTTGAATCTCGTTAGGAAGGATGAGGGTACTAATGCGTGGGAATTTTTGGGAGCTAGAGTGGTCGTCGAACCGGATCGGGCACCGGTGCACATCTTCTCACGAACGAATAACCACGCTTACGTGGACAATCAGCCTGGACTTCACTTCCACTCTATGCAGGATTATCAGTCCTACTCTGCGAAGAAGGTGAAAAAGATGACGCTTACCGCATCGATGTTGCGTTTGTGGAGAACGGCAACTGACGAAGATGCTGCTCTTGCAGCAATTTTGTGTCTTGTTAAGGAAGCACGCCTCCGGGACTACCCCCTGGAGGTCTTCTTCGCATCCTTGGCTAGGTTTGCCAAGGTGGTGGGTGGTCCTGGGAGATCTTTGATCTTGCAGGTCTACCCCCACCATAAGTTGTACATTAACTAGTTTTTTGCGTCCTCGTTTCTGAAGAAGGCCCTCACTCGGGTTTTTCACTTTGTCCGGTTTTCTCAGACTGGTTTCTCGGGTTATCCAGTTGTTGGCAAGTAAGTGCACTAGGGGAGAAGGAACTTTCGGGTGCTGCACGAGTTGTCAGAGTTTGCTGCTTTTCATTTTCATTTTTATTATTTCACTAATTTTGGAAAACCAATTTTTTTGGGCCCGCTACTGAGAGGATTCCGTAACTGTTTCTTCAGTATGAGAATCTTGCTTGGACGCAGGCATTCTGGACCAGGTTTTCGGCACACGTATCTGGTCGGTTTTCAGAAGGCAGATGCAGCGACCCAGGGACAGGGTTTTGAGGCACAGGCACCATGATAGTCGGCACAGGTGTCTGGTCGCTGTAGGCAGATGCAGCGTCCCAGGGACAGGGTTTCTGGGCACAGGCACCTCGATAGTCAGAACCCTGTTTGGACGCAGACATTCGGGACCAGGGCGCAGGTTTCTGGTCGTTTTCAGTAGGCAAATGTAGCGTCNGTGCACTAGGGGAGAAGGAACTTTCGGGTGCTGCACGAGTTGTCAGAGTTTGCTGCTTTTCATTTTCATTTTTATTATTTCACTAATTTTGGAAACCAATTTTTTTGGGCCCGCTACTGAGAGGATTCGTAACTGTTTCTTCAGTATGAGAATCCTGCTTGGACGCAGGCATTCTGGACCAGGTTTTCGACACAAGTATCTGGTCGGTTTTCAGAAGGCAGATGCAGCGACCCAAGGACAGGGTTTTTTTTTTTTTTTTTTTTTTTTTTAAAAATTGGGGGGGGGGGGGGGGGGGGGGGGGCTGATAAGAGCAGACACCCCCTCCACGCCCGATGTCTGGGAACGGCTCCGTTCCATTGGTGGGGAGCTGCACCTGCTGGAAATCGGGTCCAGCGTCCCTTAACATTTCAGGACAGGGAGCCAATTATCAGTAATGTTATGTTGGCCCGTTTTCACAGGGCCTCATGTCATGCATACACCACACAGTGATCCTTTTCAGTAGCTGAAGTTTGTTATGCCAGATCCCAACATGTCCTGATCAGAGGGCGTAGCTCACAGTCTGTAGCTCGGCCTGACTCCAGGCCTGCACGACATTGAGCGGTCCCCCGTGAAATGGTTGCTGCAGTGTGTTGTGCATTATGTTCTGAGCCAACATGTCCTGATCAGAGGGTGTAGCTCACAGTCTGTAGCTCGGCCGGACTCCAGGCCTGCATGACACTGAGCAGTCCCCTGTGAAATGGTTGCTCAGTGTGCTGTGCATTATGTTCTGAGCCAGCACTTCATCCAAACCGACCCGACACTGCTCTGAGCCCCATCATGAGGCCCCTGCTGACGCTGAAGGTGTCCATGATACAACGGGGCACCTCTCTGCGACGTCAGTAAGTCGTAAAGTCCCCTGATTGTGCTTGCAGCCACGTCGCATATACTTGCTGGCTCTCAGCTGTAGTTGCGTTGTCGTCTTCATCATCCGTGGAAATGAGGGGGATGTTGGGGTCCAGAAGAGGCGATCAGGGCTGCAGGGGGGGCAGGGGAGGGGGAATGGGGTGGGCCGGGGAGGAACAAAGACGGAGGGTGGGAAGGGTCGGAGCTGGAGGCGGGAAAGGTGCAGAGGGGGCCATCGGACTGTCCGGCACAAGCACAAAGTTCGTTGGGAGGTAGGGGATCTCGAAGCAGCTGAACGGCCTCCTCCTCCAGGTGGATTCTGTGGACCTCCATGGTTTCCATCGAATGTCCAGGCTGTCAGTCAGGTCCGAGAATTTGTTGTTCGGATCCTGCCACAGCTGCCGGTAAGCGAGAACCATAGTATCCTTGGCTGCCTGTTCCTTCTCCTCTCGGCACGCCCGTTTCAGTTCTTTCCATGCGTCGTGTGTTCTGGCTCTGATCTCATCCTCCGTCGCTTGCTGCGCTTGTTGCAGACCAAACTGGTGGTCTTTTCTTTCAAAGGCGCACCTAGCTCGCCATGCGAGCATTAACATGTGGAGGTGCATGTAAGCGAAGAGGTTGGCGGCGTAGGGAGACCATCGAGCCAGCAACTGCTGTTTTTTGCCGAGCAGGAGAAGACCCAGATCCCAAGGAATGTAATAGCCTGTGAGGGAGTGGAATGCCGCGTCCCACCATTGCCATATTTGGGTGACCATTGGACACGCCAACAGGCAATATTCCAATGTTGCCCGGGCCGACAGTGATGCTCTGCCACAGTGCGAGCAAATGGGGGACAACAATCCCCTCTATTCCAGATTGGTCCTGGACACCAGCCAGTCGGGGGTGGGGAGGCAGCGGTGCAGTATCTGCCATTGCAGGGATCTAACGTTTGTTGGCATGACCATCGAATAGTTAGCCCACGACAGGTTGTCTGTCAGCTGTGCATCTAGCGGCGAGTCCCTTTCCCATCTGCGGGTCACAATTTGGTTTAAGGGCAGGTCGGGGCACGAAGCTCAGTAGGCCCCTTTAACCGTGTATTCCCAGAAGCTCATGGGTTTGTGGCCAGGCCATTCCCATTCATCCGGGTTGAACTGTAGCCTCGCAACCGGCGTGGATGGTTCATACACATAATGTCCTTTTTCGGCATCCCCCACCACCCTCACTTGCATAAGCGCTCCCCACTCTTCTTCGGCGTCCAAATCTTCAATCCTAACAGTTTTAGAGAACCTGGCGTCTCGAAGCTGGGATTGGTAGGCCTCCAACGCACACCGGCCGTCCACAATACTATGAACTCTGTAGATGACATGAGGTCGGGTCTGGTCTGCGAACTTGGCCACCCCGTCGTTTTGCTAAACTGAGGGCCTCTTTTTGAGGGCAAGGCGCCAGGCCAGCGGAATGGCCTCCCTTAGCTGACAAGCATTGACCTCCACTGACTTAGCGTATTTCAATCTATGCTGCAGCTGATCAGTGGTTACCCAGTCTTCAGTGATCGGATCCCACAGGTCCCCAACAGTAAAGACCTCTTTCTTTGCCCAGGTGAGCCACGACGAGTTGGAGGTGAGGGAGAAGGGACTGCCTGTACCATCGAGAATATATGGGTTACCAAACAACGGCTGCCTCCACACATTGTGCCAACGGTTCGGCGGGCGCTTCAACTTCGGACCACTTTTCCTCCAAAGCTTAAGCATGTTGGGCCACAGAGGGTCAAGGGGAATATCCTGCCTGGTGGCCTGTGCCGGGGTGCCGGCTTGGGGATGCTGTGGGGGGCCGGGTATTGGCCAATGGGAATTAGTGACCCATCTGAAGGGATGCACACGTGCGGACGCAGCAGTATGCGGGCCCAAATCAGATATCTGCAAGCAGGCCCGGGGGGCCCATGGGATATCGTTGCCTATGAGAAGCCTGACCAAAACTTTAAAGATCAAGGCTTCACTTTCTCTCTCCAGGTCCAATATCCCAAGTCCCCCCTTGACTCTTGGCTGGGTGAGGACATCCCAACTTACCCTACTCATGCAATTGTGAGAGTTTGCATCATTCTTCCACAGGTAGGCCGTAAGCGCCCTTCTCAGTATAGTGTATTGCTGAGGTTTTAGCGACCACACTGCTAGTTTATACCATACGACCGCCAGCATTGCATTGTTGATTGCAAGAGCGCGGCCCACCAGGGATGTATGTAACCCATCCCATCTGGCCAAGCGATCAAGCGCCGTGTTGACCAGTGTGTCGCCGTGATCCAGCGGGGGTCCCTGTGCCGTCAATCTCACCCCCAAGATACGTATGGCCTCATCCCGGGCTGCCCATGCGACACTCGGTTCTGGGGGGGGTGGCTCCCCTTGGGGGTGAAGCCACCATCCTTGTGTTTTGGACCCCCAATTCACTTTCATATCTGCCGCCAGCGAGAAGAGGTGTATCACTTGGGTGACCGCGTGCAGACTGGTCGCATCTGCCTTAATGAGCACAGTCAGGTCGTCCGCAAACAATGACGTAACCGAGATGAGGTGGTCTAGAAGGTCCGGAATCGGTATTTTACTAATGAGGGGATGCGCTCTGATGAGCGAAGCCAGGGCTTCCATAACGATAACGAAGAGTAGAGGCACTATGGGATCCCCTTGCCTGACCGATCTTTGGAGCCGGATCAGGGGTGACAAGTGGCCATTCAGCATAATGTTTGTGGTTGCAGTCCTATGAAGGAGCTGCACCCAGCGGCGAAAGGTTGGCCCAAAGTTCATTTTAGTCAAGCACATATCCAAGAAATCCCAGTCAATGTGATCATACGTTTTTTCGAAGTCGATGAACAAGATCGCTGCTTGGACCCTGCGTTGGCGAGCATATTTAATAGTCTCGTTGACGAGGAGGATGTTATCTTGGATGTTTCGATTGGGCATAAACCCCGACTGATCCGGATGAATCAGCATGTTCATCAGCGGCAGCAAGCGGTTGGTAAGGGCCTTGGACACCAGCTTGTACGGGACCGGGAGGAGAGTGATCGGTCTATAATTTCTAATATCCTCCCTATCTCCTTTCTTGTAAAGAAGTGCGGTGACTCCCTGCCTTATCATACCTCCGAACGATCCTTCTTTCTGCACGGCTGTAACATAGTCCATTAGATCATCGCAAAGGAGGTCCCAAAATGACACCCAGAATTCTTTAGGAAAGGAGTCTATGCCTGGGGTCTTTTCATCCTTCATTCCCTGCAAGGCCTCCCAGATCTCCTGGGAAGACAGAGCCTTGTCAAGCTCCCCTTTTTGTGCAGTGGTGAGGCGTGAGTGGATGACTTGCAATAGTGATTCCCTTGCCTACACCACGTCATCAAGGTATTTCTGAGGGGTTTGCGATGTGAAGAGATTTTGGTAATACCGGGAGGCATAGTCTGTTATAGTGTAGGCATTGGTGGCGGGCGGGGCACTTTCATTCAGCGGGGGTTTCAGCTTTGGAACCGTTGCTGCCCTAGATCTGGCCTTTGCCTTGTTGAAGAAAACCCTGGCCATTGTGCCATCTGTGTGTTCCTTTTTAATCCGGGCCTGGATTCTCCAAGCCTGGGCTTGTTGTTCTATATAGGCTTGAAGGTGGTCCCGAGCCTGTTGCATGCTTTCGTAGGTCGGGCGGTGCAGCGGATCCTCCATCAGCTGCTCGTCCCAGCTCTCTAGTTGTTGCATGAGGTTGTCAAGGGTTGCCCTCCAATCTCTCGCGTGCTGGATGGAGAATTTCTTGGCCCTCTCCCTGAGTTGTGCCATTCCATCATTGAACCAGTCGACCCTGTCCCCAGATTGCAGTTTTTGAGACTGCCAGTATCTCCAAAATCCATCGACCATATCTTTGAATCGCTGCAAGGGCAGCAGGGAGGAGTTAAATTTGTAAAACCCCGTGCCTCTTTGGATATGGTTGTGAAAGGACAGCCCCAATGTAATCATCCGGTGGTCGAAGGACTTGCAAGGACTGGCCGTAGCGATTTCGGTTGTGATGACCAGTCCTAGCAGGTCCTTCGATACTAATGTAAGGTCGATCCTGGAGTTGGAAAGGCAACGATCTCCTCTAGTTGAAAAACATGTGTAGGCTCTTTGGGATGGGTGCAGCATCCTGTATGTGTCTTCTAGTCCTTTATTTGACATGAGTTGATGGAGCATCAGGATGTCCGGGCCGGGGACGGGCTGCGAGGAACCCGATGGTGTGTCACGTTGTGAGGTCGATCTCCTGTCCATCACTAGATCAAGCGTTGTATTAAAATCACCTGCGACTATTAGAAGGGCATCACCTGGGAGGTGTTGCAGGAGGGTGATCCAGAAGTCCGCCCTGTCAGTCGGGTTGTTAGGTGCGTATATGCTGAGGAGATAAAACTCGTCTTCTTCGTGAGCTACTTTAAGGCACACCCATCTTCCGTGGAGGCGATCATAGTCATACGAAATCGGCGTGAGCCTAGAGGAGGGTGGGAGCCAGATCGCTGCGCCTGCCGACGCCCTTTGTGTCGCTGGTGCTGAATAAATTGTGTATGGCCAGATCATTTTTGCTTTTGCTGCATGCGGCAGTGTATCTTGCAGGTGTGTTTCCTGGACACACACCGCATCCGGCCATCTGCCTGTGATTTGGCATTTGAGCATATTCGAGATGGCATCCTTCTTGTCCACCGATGCTGGGATAAGTCCATTGACGTTGAGCGAACGGATGTCAATGTCCGCTCGGGCCAGTTTAGTAGCCCAGAGGGGGGGCTTCCTGACTAGAGGAAAAACCGGGGGGGAAGGCAGACGTCGAGGTGGCAGAGCAGGTGGTGGTGAACCCCCATTGGGGGGCGCGAAGGGGGGAGCGCGTGGGAGCGGATTATCGGGTGATGGGTGAGGTGGGATGATGTTGGGATGGTGACCTGAGTCTGATTGTGGGGGTGGAATGCTGTGTGGTGGGTGGGATGGGTGGATGACATGATGCTGGCCAGTCAGCGGTTCAGATGACGATCCGACATTCAATCTGTGTATGGTTTGTGGCAATGCACCCGCTGCGTAATTCAATCCATTGTCTTGAGAGGTAGCACGGCGGGGGGGTCGTCCCAGCGGTTATGTTCTTGCAGGACATTGTCCTCTAACAGGATCTGCATGAACACTAATACCTTGCTGAGAGTCCAGGCGAAGTTTGTCCTGAACCTCGCCAAAGAGAGGTCCATAAGTTGTTGGTGGGTGAACCACGTGAAGCTCGTTCCAGATTTAAGATCTCTTGTGTTAGGATCTATCAGCAGGATGACTGGGATGACACCTTTCGGGAACGACAGAGACTAGGGTAGCACGACTCCCAAGACCCCCACCGTGCCTGTCTCAGCAATCCAATACTTCAGCCTTTTAAGAATGACTGCTGTAGACGGTTTGCCCCTCCATCCTTCAAGTGTAAGTCCGTTTGGTGACGCTGAGGCCCCTTGTTGCACGTCCTGTTGAGGCGGTCTAAGTCTAATCACCCACTCCCCTCTTTCCCTCACCGGGGTGAGCGGGATGATAACGACCCCTGGAGGCATTTCAATGTGTGCGCTTCCATCGTCTTCCAACCTTACCATCTCCCGCAGGTTTTGGGGGGGAGGCGTCTATGCTGGAGTCATTGTCCATGGGGTCGTTGTCATCATGTATTATCAGCACCTTGCGGGAACAGGCACAATTTCCATAACGTTGTGAGTTTGCGGGGGGGGGGGAGGAGGGGAGTGCAATTGCTTCTCGTGCTGACTGAGGTGGTGTATGGTAAGCGGTGTTTGGTCCGCCTGTTGCTGCTCATTGTGCTGCAACAGGGAGTGGAGCGTTGAGCAGAGCTCGTGTATGAGTACCTTAGGCCACGCTAAGCCTTCGTGGACGAAGGCCTCCTCGGGGGGGTCAGGGGGGTCTCGCTGACCCCTGGTGTCGTTGGCCGCACTCCCTATGAAGCTCTTGTTGGCATAGCTAACAATTTTGTCGAGAAAGTTGTTTACCACCAAGACGATGGCCGCCCCCACATCCATCCAGTCTATGTCTGAGATGACCTTGTATTTTTCCACCGTGACCAACACTCGCGGGCTGTACATCAAGACCCTTTTGGCCTCCCCCCAAAATCTGTTACCCAGTTCGTCTGCGGGTTTATCATCCGCAGGTGAGAAAATTTTTAAGAGGGTCCAGTCTGTCAGGAAAGCGAGTTTCTGGTGAACCTCATCGTTGGTCGAGAGCGGAGGCGTGTCCACTTTCTGTGGAGGATTACTTTGTGGCGGAGCTGGCTCCACATCCATCGTCTCTGGAGGATCTTGGAGATGCTCCAGACGCGGAGGTTCAGGAGGGAGGACGGAGATGTCCATGTCTTGTGGCTTCTGCAGTCCTTCGGACCCTCCAGGCGGAGCGATGGACGGGCATTCGGGTGCGCAGATCATTTGATGTTGTAGGACCGTTTGTCGATCCATCTCCTGTTGCCAAAAAACCTGCAGCTGGTGCTGTTGTTGCTGCAGGACGTGTTGCTGTTGGCAGCACAGCTGCTGCTGCCATTGCCTCTGCAGATGTTGATGTTCAAGGATCTGTTGCTGGAGCAACAGCCTGTCATGATACTGCTGGTGTTGGTACTGTGCCAGTTGTGCTTGCAGCAGCTTTTGGAGGTGCTCCTCGCATTGTGTGCGCAGCAGATCCTGCATCTGCAGATCTTGCGTCTGTTGTTGCTGGTTGGCCTGTGCCTGTGTGTGTTGCACTAGTTGGAGATGCATGTGTTGTTCCTCATGCCGTTGCCCGGGGAACTCCTGTTGTTGTTGACCCTGCTGCATCTGCAGATCTTGCGTCTGCTGTTGCTGGTTGGCCTGTGCCTGTGTGTGTTGCACTAGTTGGAGATGCATGTGTTGTTGCTCATGTTGTTGCCTGGGGAGCTCCTGTTGTTGTTGACCCTGCTGCATCTGCAGATGGTCAAGTTGTTGGGGCTGTTCCGTTTGGAGCAGACGGTGCTGCTGTTGAATCTCCATTTGCTGATGACATCGGTCGAGTTCCTGTTGCCGACAATGTAGCTGAGCGTGTTGTTGGGGGCACAGGGGCTGCGGTTGCTGACCCAGGTCGAGGAGGCGGGTCTGTGGTTGAACAGGCTCACAGTCTAGCATCTCGCCGTCTTGCTGCTGGTCCTGCTCGCTGCTGTGTAGTTGGATTGTAGCCCGCTTGTGTTGTTGAGATAGCACTTGCTGTAGACTTCGGTCTTGTAAGTGCTGTTGCTGCGTTGTTACTTGTGCGTGGTGGGCGTGGTCATGTTGCATAGCACGCTGGGCTTCTTTAAGGGGACCCCGTTGTGTGAGGGGCTCGTTGAGCTCACTGGGCTGGTCAGACATGTTCTGTAGTTGTTGGTGGTCGGGTGGGCCGGGGGGCGGCTGCAGTGGGCTTATTAACTGTTGTGGTATGTTCTGGGTGTCCCATTCGATCAGCCCCTTGCTGTCTTCCTTCGGCGCTTGTTTCGTCGTTGGAGGGAGCTGCAGAAACTTCGTTTCCCCAGTAAGCACCGAGACCACCTGCTTGAGTCTGGTGTCCCTTTCCTTTCCCAGGTCAGGGGGAGACGCAGCCAGCAATGGTTGCGCCGGCTGCAGCTGGTGTGATTGTGAAGGCCGTTGTCTTCGGTCAGCACGCTGCAACTGTTGTGTGGGCTCCACCTCCGGGCCCGGGGGGTCGTCTCGCGGGCGGACCGGGGACCGGGGCACTTGGTCATCGGGGATGGATGACACAGAAGTGTCGTCCCATCTGTGTTTGTGTTGGTGCTGGGAGAAAGCCACGTCCTTGATTTTGTGAAGGAGGGAGTTGGCTTTCAGCCACACTTGCAGGGGTTTTGGAGGTTTTGCACTTCCTTCCCCCTGTCTGTCGGGACCTGGTAGCCTCAACTGTGGAGACACGAGGGGCGAACCCTTTTCCAAGGACAAAGCAACAGTTGTAGAGTGTTGTTGTTGCATTCGTCGTAGCGTTGTGGTGGGCGCGGGGGACACTCCCTTATCTGGGGGAAGGGACGTTCCTTTATCCGGGGGAAGGGTGGCAGTTGTGCATTGCCATTGCTCCTGTTGGCAAACCACTGCAGTCGCAGAATGAGCGGGTTTGGGGGTCGGCGTCCCCCGGTCTGAGGCAGTCGTCTTGTCACCGTTGGCACTGTTCTCTCCATCCAGTCTTGAGCTGGTCGGTGATTCAGTCGCCCCTGTCCCAGGGGCCTGGGGGGGGGAAGGCGCAGCCCCATGCCCTGTCCGGTCGCTGTTCGTGCCATCTTTGTCCTGAGGGAGGGCAAGGTCATTGTTGGCAGGGAGCGGCACCGCTGCCCGGCGGGAGGGACTCGGGGCCCGGGCCTTCCCCCCCTCCCCACCCAATTGTGAAAGGCCCTTTTGTTCAACTGAGTCAGGCCGGGGCGACGGGGCTGCAGTCCCATCCTCCGGTACAGTCTCGTGACCAGTCCGATCCCCATTCCTGCCAGCCTTGTCCCGGGGCTGATCCTGTTGGCTAACCACTGCAGTCGCAGAGTGAGCAGGTTTGGGGCCCGGCTTCCCCCGGACTGAGGCAGCCATCTTGTCATTGTTGGCATTGTTCTCTCCATCCAGTCTTGGGCAGGTTGGTGATTCAGTCACCCCTGTCCCAGGGGCCGGGGGGGGGGGGAGGCGCTGCCCCATGCCCTCCGCTCGCTGTTTTTGCCATCTTTGTCCTGAGGGAGGGCAAGGTCATTGTTGGCAGGGAGCGGCACCGCTGCCCGGCGGGAGGGACTCGGGGCCCGGGCCTTCCCCCATCCCCACCCAATTGTGAAAGGCCCTTTTGTTCAACTGAGTCTGGCCGGGGCGACGGGGCTACAGTCCCATCCTCCAGTACAGTCCCGCGACCAGTCCGATCCCCATTCCTGCCAGCCTTGTCCCGGGGCCGATCCTGTTGGCTAACCCCTGCAGTTGCGGAGTGAGCAGGTTTGGGGGCCGGTGTAGGGCCAAACCCAAGGAGACTTTCGAGCCTTAGTCGACCCCACTTCGGGTCCCAGTTGGCTCGGCCCGCCCACACTCATGCTCAGGGCACGGGCCATTCGTCCCAAAGTCACCCCCACCTAGTGCTTTGAGATGGATGGGGGTGGGCCATCGCGCGAGAGAGCTTTGACATTGGGGATGTAGCTCAGTCCTCACGCCGGGTGGTAGTCTCGCTGGTCGTTCCGCAACGCTGATTTTTTTTTGATTCTTTATTGTGTTCTCAAGCAACTGCTCCTTCCAATACGCAGGCAGTCCAGGGATTCTTTGAGCCTTTCTCTTCTCTTGTGCGTAGGCTAAGCGTCATCCTTAGGCCACACACCATTTCCCTAAGCATTTTGGCTATATGGCGTCATCGGGGTGCGGTGGGGCCGTCCTCCCCCTCGCCTCTACGCATCCATCGGATCTCTCAATTTGCTTCCTACCTTATTGAAGTAGGCCACTTAGTCTTTTCGGGGTCCTCATATGCATGCACACACAACATCACTTTTTCGTTGGCATGACAACACTCCCATTTGCACCCCAAGTCTTCAAACGCACAAGTCATATCCATGGGGTAGTTCTATGTCAAGGGTCCCATAGCCCCTACGCCCTCTTCCCTTTCCCTCTTGATGCCCGGTTCCACTTGCCCCTATCCCGCTCAAGGCATCTTTATCCATCACTTACTTGCACAATCCCACACAAAGAAGAAGATCCATACAATCCCCCATCGGGGGTCAACACATAGCCCTTCCCACATGCCTATTCTTTCAAGTCCTTTGGCTGCTCATTGTTCCCTCTTGTTGTTCAATCAGCCCATTCTCTTCTCATAGCCATGCAGTCAGGGAGATGGTTGAGTCAAACTGACCTCACTTTCAACTTATGTTTTCCTCCGGATTCCGCCTCTCCCACTTCCTTTTTTGGACGTCCTCTCTCTTGCCTTCTTGGTGGCACAAGGGACCGACTACCCCCCCCTTGTCCTCTTTCTCCACCAAGTGAGGGCTGATTTCGTTCTCCGCTCGTGCCCTGGCAATGTTTTCCAAGTGAGGGGGGAGAAGGGTTAGTCATATGCTAAGTGAGGGGAAGGGAGAGAGAGGGCCAGATGATGATGCGAGAGAGAGAGAGAGAGGAAGAGAGAGAGAGAAAAAAAAAAGGCAAGGAGGGAAAGGAGAGAGGGAGAAAGAGGGGGGAGAGAGAGAAAAGGGAAAGGGATAGGGGGAGAGCTAGAGAAGGCAGGAAAGATAGAGAGAGAGAGAGAGAGAAGACAAGAGTCCTCTAGTCCTAATCAAGTCATCACCCCGTAATAGCAGCCCAATGTCGGTCACCCATCCCTTAGAGAAAGAGCAACTAAAGTAAGAACCGGAACATCCACTCATGCTTGAACTTTGACAAAAGTGTAGAAGTGAACTAGTGAAACACATGCATATGAAGGAAAGATTGACTAAGCAAGAACCGGAACATAAACACATGTTTGAATTCGACAAAAGGAAGAACTGAACTAGTGGAACATATGCATGTAAAGGAGAGGTTGACTTAAGTACGAACCGGAACATCAACACATGCCTGATCTTCACAAAAAGGAAGAAGTGAGCTTAGTGGAACATATGCATACGAAGGAGAGGTTGGCCAAGTAAGATCCGGAACATCAACACATGCCTATACTTGACAAAAGGAAGAAGTGAACTAGTATTACACATGCACATGAAGGAAAGATTGACTAAGTAAGAACCGGAGCATCAACGCATGATTGAACTTGACAAACGGAAGAAGTGAACAAACGGAGCACATGCACATGAAGGAAAGATTGACTAAGTAGGAACCGGAACATCAACACATGCTTGAACTTGATAAAAGGAAGAAGTGAACTAGTGTTACACATGCCCATGAAGGAAAGATTGACTAAGTAAGAACCAGAGCATCAACACATGATTGAACTTGACAAACGGAAGAGGTGAACTAACGGAGCACATGCACATGAAGGAAGGATTGACTAAGTAAGAACCGGACATCAACACATGCTTGAATTTGACAAAAGGAAGAAGTGAACTAATGTTACACATGCATATGAAGGAAAGATTGACTAAGTAAGAACCGGAACATCATATGCTTGAACTTGACAAAAGGAAGAAGTGAACTAGTGTTACACATGCACATGAAGGAAAGATTGACCAAGTAAGAACCGTAACATCAATACATGATTGCACTTGACAAACAGAAGAAGTGAACTAGTGTTACACATGCACATGAAGGAAAGGTTGACTAAGTAAGAACCGGAACATCAACATATGTTTGAACTCGACAAAAGGAAGAAGTGAACTTGTGGAACACATGCACATAAAGGAAAGGTTGACTAAGTAAGAACCGGAACATCAACATATGTTTGAACTCGACAAAAGGAAGAAGTGAACTTGTGGAACACATGCACATGAAGGAAAGATTGACTAAGTAAGAACCGGAACATCAACACATG